TTAATTGTATAAGAAAATATTTTTGTTTCATCTCCAATAGTTAGATATTTTCGGTTTTGATTTTTTATGTATTGTATTTTTTGAGACATAAAAATGATCATGAATTTCTTTTTAAGATCAATTCGATTCATTCTTATTAATCCTTTGCATTATGATTTAAGTTATGACGTGCGTCCACAATTCACAGACTGTGTCAATTATTTGCATATTAACAGTGCTATATTCAGTGTTACACAAACAATAAAATCTTAATCTTTATAAATATATTTTTATACGTACATATATATACAAACAATTTATCAAGAAAGTTTTTTATGACTTAAATATATTGTTACTAATGATTTATCCAATGAGCAGAAATAATTTTTGACGTAGAAATAAATAATTTACTAGTAATATTTTATTTTAATTTGTACAAAAATGTTTATTTTGAATTACTGATGTTTGGTAAATAATCAAAAAAACAAAAAATTATGTTTATTTTATTCTTTTAAGATAAAAGTCTTGATATTATATTGCATTAATTATGAAGGTAAATAAAATTAAATATAAAGATAAATATAAATATATACTCAAAATCATGTTTGCTTCTAATGAGCTCTAAATCTTTATTTCTTGATTCAGAGTTATTTATAGATTAATTGTATTTATTTCTTTCATAAACATGTTTTAAAGTTTTATATTATATTTTGTTTTTGGTATCTGTTTTTTCCTCTAAGAAACATAGTTGAAATTTTTGTCATAAAATAACTTTTCCTTATATTTTATTTTATTAAAATACTTAAATTGACATTAATGTAACATCTTTTAAATGTTTAGAAATAAATCTAATTTTTTTAAGATTTTTTAAAATCATCCTTTTTTTTAAACGATATTTATTTAATTCAAATAGACTCAAAATAATTAAAGAAAGTAGGATTTTTTTAAGACTCACAATTAATGATTTTGGTGTATATATTGCATGTAATTATACTGCCTTGAAATGAAACAATATGCATTCTCTATCTTATTTATTATTAGTATTATTCATGTTTGTTTAAATTTTTTTATAACAATGTAATTGATATATTTTTTGAAAGTTTGCAGATTTGATGTAATAGATGTGCTATTAAACGATAAAATATTGATTTAAATGTAAATCATTATAGTTATTGAAATCTAGAATGAAATTTATCAGATACATTAATTAATAGTGATTATAGTGATTGTAGATATAAATAATTGTAGATTACAATAATCATTTTAATCTATAGCAAGGATTTTTGACTTTTAAAAATGGATAATCAATTGTTTGTATATTTTCTAGTAAGTGAATATACAGCGAGATAAATTTACAATTGACTGCATAAGTAATAACCCAAGCAATAACCTTCATATAACATGATTAATTTGTTCCGCATTGTATCGAAATTGTTACAAAATTTAGAATAGGAATTAGAGAAAAGTTCCATTATATCATATACATGTAAGATTATATTATAAGAAAACCATACAAAAATGGAGATATCTTTTCATAAAATAAATAAATAAATAATATAATATGAAAGAGGGAAACGATTGGAACGAAAGAAACGAAATAAATAAATAATATAATATGAAGAGGGGAACATGAATTTTTATGACGAGTTGAAAATAATATATATGGCTGTTAGTCTACTTAAAAATGAATGTGGTCATGAAATAAATAATAAAATTTTATTAGAAAATGTTATTTATTGCATTTTATGACTGTTCCTGTATAGGAACTTTATACATATGCAGGTACAAAATCAATCAAATAAAAAAAAAAACAAAAAAATCTCTTTGTGAATCTTTATCACATATAATAACCTTACTTTGCATGAAAATCATGAAAACAATTTTTTTTAACATATAAATACAAATGTATGTGACATTTCTCACACATAACTCTTAATTTGCCCTTGTATTTTATTACCTTGCACCTTTGCCTATTCTCAGCCCACAGAGGCCAGTGTGCAATGTGATCAGTTTGTATATCCAAAGTTGGTCGTGGTTTTTTAAATTGTCTTTTTTGGATAGGCTTATCTATGCTACTGCTTTTAGGTCGGCTCCTTTTTGTAGAATTTTGGACACCTATTTTTTATGATTGCCTTTAATTTTTTTTATCCAAAATCTAGGCATTTACCACTATCGTATCTATCATATGGTAAAATATTTTATGGTATCATTTTTTACTTTTTAGTTTGATAGGATAAAGTCCCAGCAGGGAATCTTGTCTACACTTCCCATATGACAATTATATTCTGTTACAATATTTGGACATTCTATTTCTTTGTGTTTGTTTTATGAACTTGAAGAATTGGTTTACCATCATAACATGTTCCGTTGCACAATAAGTTGAGGCAAGTGTTACAACTTTATTGTCGTACCATTGCACGACGTGTGAATCTTTACGTTATCCACTGTAGTTGTATGCTCTATTATATTTTTCCTACCTTGTTTTTTTCATATTTTTTTCTGATTGTCTGGAAAAGTCATGTAGCCGATTTATTCTCATAGTTGCAACTGAATCCCTAGATTAGGTAAATATGCCATCAGACGTAAACTAGAAAAATAGTTATCATAAAATACTTTATGGTTGACATTCCTTGGAATAATTTTACACATTCGCATTACTACGTTGCTGGCTGCGCCTAAGTTTGATCCTCCAGGTACTTCTTCGGAGTTGGTTTGACTATTTGCTATTTCAAAATTGTACGACAAACTAGATACACCTGAAAGCATCCACATTTTATATCTTCATTTGTCGGGTTTCTTTGAATTATAGGTTTTCAGACTTAGATCCTTCCTTTGAAAGGTATAATCTGCTCATTATAAGATAAGCTTTCTTCCATTGGAATTTTCTTACAAGAACTTTTTACCTGTTCCAATACTGGTAATATTTTATGAAGCTTGGACGTATTCTCCATATTGTTAGAGAAATGCAAATACCTTTTCAACTTCTCAAAACGATAACAGGTCATAGTGTCTGCCATTTGGGCAATTCTTGTGCTTGGAGCCCAATACCTTCGTGTGTAATCGAATAAGCGACATCCAAATATACCTATAAATTTTTGAAGTTCTTCAGAAGAAGTGGTTAGTGGCATATTTGGAGAAATTTGCACACTGTAGATACATGATTGTCTCAATAAAAAATTTGTTAGAGAGAAAAAAACAGAATAATTTGTAACGAATATTTAGTTGCAGAATTTTAGGTGGTAATAGAGTATTTTCTAAAAAGGCAGTGTTTATCTCATCTTTTCTAGTCCTGCTTACCTTCCAGAATATTTTCTCTCTAGTTGCACTTTTTTTTGCTTTGGAAGTTGGAAATAACTGTTGCAAAGGAATATCATCTTCACTGTTATAATCAGTAGTTTATTGCTTTTATTACTTAG